CTCTCTCTCTCTCTCTCTCTCTCTCTCTCATCTCTAGGTCCTAGCTATGGCGCCCTGTGTCCTTGACTGGCCTACCAACTCCCACGGAGTTGCACTGGAACCACACAAGCATATAGCAGGGCTTCTGCAAGTGAGCCAGTGTTTCTTTTTTCTTTTTTTTCTGTCTTTTTTTTTGGGTGAAACACCGACGGGTCAGGCGATTTCCTTGAGGGTGGTAAGATAACCCTCTAGGATGGAGCCTGTGATGTCCGATGGCTCCAGCCATATTCGTGGGGAGCATCACCTGCTGGAAAACGGGTCCAGCATCCCTTTTGACAAACTGATCTTCCTCACCCTTGCCTTGTGCCAGCTATGTCTTGAGTATTCAAGCTTAGAGAAACAGAGTTACCCTGGGCCAGCGGACTGGCTTAAGCTGTGGGGACTATGGCTATGGGCACCACAGCTTAAGGACTGGCTTAAGCGGACTGGCCGGGTCTTAAGAGGAGCTGTACTTGACTCCAGCAGGAGTGATTCGCCAAGAGGAACTGTACAACTAACTACCCAAAGGAGGGCCCCACTGTGTTGAGGGGTGATTTTGTTCGGGGGGGGGCTCGGCTCCATTCCCCCATAAGCCAAGGCCCCAGCTTGATCCTGCGCGCTCTCGTCTCTCATGGCGAGTTTGCTCTCTCTTTCCCATGTAGAAATGACCCACCTGAAAATTTGTTTGGGTCTTCCTGTCTTAGGGCCTCGCCACACCACTCTTGAAACGGGGAAATTTTTCAAGAGCTGTCAGATGTTCTCAAGAGTTGGGTTTTCAAGAGTTTCGGGCCCCTCTGCATGCAGCATGCAGCACACAGCACTCTCGAAAAGGGCGATGGTGCTGGACAAACGATGAAAAACGACAGTCGTACAGCTTTGTTTTTTCCGAATTGCGTCAGGATAACGGCCTGACACCTCTCGAAAATCAAGGGCCCTTCGAGTGCCCTCGGGAGGGCGCTTGAAAAGAGAGCGGTTCTGCAGGCTGGGCGTTTCCGAGTTTCTAGTGCTACTTTCCAAGTGTCTAGTGCTACGTTCCAAGTTTCGAGTGCTACTCTTGAAACGAGGCTCTGACGACTCTCGGAAGAGTTTTCGGGCTATACAACTCTCAAGTGGCTGTGTGGCGACGCGTCCAACTCTTGAAAACGCTGAAAACGCGGTTTCAAGAGTGGTGTGGCGAGGCCCTTACTGGCAGTTACTGTGTGTTTCCTCCAGTCAGCCCAAATCATGGCTCTGACATTGCGGCCTACCACGGACTGTAATTTTTTTTATTTTTTTTTTTTATATTTTAGTAGGGACATGCTCCAATCTATTCGTGGGGAGCAGCACGTGCTGGGAACCGGGCCCAGCGTCCCATTCAAGAACACATTGAAAGAATGACTGTAAAATAAAGATGTCTGAGTAGAATTTCTGCCTGAAAAGCCTGTCGACGCTGTCGTTTCTCAGTTTCCAAATCACGTTCCTGATACCACAAGCCCTTACTAGATGACATTTTCGGGGTCATAAAATGACATTTTCGAGGTCATAATACCATTTAGCACAGACCGCTTTACCCATTGGATCTCCTTCGATCTTAAGTTGTCCCTGTGGTTCCCAGTGGTTACTCCATAGATGCAGCACAATGTGCACATCCCACCACAGATGATTGGCCGACTCTTTAATTTACTTACAGCACGGCTGCAGGCGTAACACGTCAGAGTGCATTGCACAGCAGCAGGTGGAATACGTCAGAGTGCATTGAACATCCGCACCGCCTGCAGCCCCGCCGCATCAACATCGACCCCCTCACCCCCTGTCTGCATATTCCACATTAATTTTTTCTGGAAAGATGCCTTTCTGATGAGGTTGTCTGTGGTGCAGCAGAAAGGCCTGAGGCCCTGAGGGACCTGCCACACCCTCCCACTACCCGGCCAGCGGACCGCCAGCACAGAGAGGCAGTGTATAAGTATCGCGAAAGGCTGGATGCGGGTCTTCTTCCATTCTTTCCTTCTTTCTTTTTCTTTCCACCACTCTTGCGCTTCTTTAGCTTCACTCATAACAAGGAGCTTCACTCATAACAAGGATTCTTCTTCAGAAGGAGGCTGACTTTTTCATGAAAATTGGTTGCACAGTTACGATTCGTTTCTGAAAAAGAATGTGATTCCTCACTAACTTGGTTCTCCTTAAAACTTTTAAGGATTTGCATCCACTGAAACTGAGTTAGTCATTAGTAGAGTTGTTTGCTGTGGAACGCGTTTGCAATATTCGCCCGCAGGGGGGGTTTATAACTTTTCTTTTCCTTTTTTCATTTTTAATGCGTGCTCTTGCAAATCACAATTTGACGTCCGTCACTTGTACTTCTCAATGATCACGTATTTCTCGCACTCTTTGGAATGCCCAACCCTCGACACCTCCTGTTATCACATGCATGTTCCCTTCTCCGAAAGAAAATGGGGAGAAGTTAGTAAACCTCCCCGCGATGAAACCTTTGTTTTCATTCCTCTCCCCCCCCCCCCCCAACGGGGCAAAAAGTGTCGCAGGCCCCAAAATGACTTTTCGTGTCACTTTTGCACCCTGGCTGCGGCGGTAATGCCCGCCCACTGTTCAAAATGGTGGGAAAGTGTTTGACAGGGTGCAAAAATGGTGGGAAGATTTTTTTACAGGGTGCAAACATGGCGGGAAAGTGTTTTACAGGGTGCAAAAATGGCACTAAAAGTCATTTAAATTTGGGGACTGTGGCAATTTTTGCCCACTGCAGCTGGGGTTAACTGAATACAAAGGTTGCCTCGCGGGGATTTTCATAACTTTTCCCAAAAAAATGTGCTGTGATGAAGTTTCTTCCCACAGAATCACAGATGATGCTAACTTCCATTGAAACAGATTGTAAAGTTCCATGACAATTCTTATTTCTTGCAGTTATGGAAAGCCTTAGTAAGGTGCAATCGTCCCCACTTGGTGGGTATAATTACAGTAAAATTACTTCCCCTTCTTTTTGGAATGTTGTCGTGCGTAGGCAATCATGGAATTTTCTGCGATTGATGAAATTCTGTTTCAATTATAGAATAGAGGGAGCATCATCGTACGTATATGGCACGCTTCTGCGGCGGAAGTTCTGCCCCAAAAACAGGTCTGTCCTTTTTCCTTCTTCCTT